ATCAAGGATTTTCAGTTTTGCAGTGTTCTTGGAGAACTAGCTGTGCATGGGTACTTAACCCTGGGACTTCTAAATGGAATTTGTGCTGTTAGTTCAGGGCTGTTGTCCATGGTCTCGGTGTGTTATGTTCCCTGAGACTTTTCCCAACTAACTGATAAAACTGCAGCCTTCCTGGCACCAGGCCAAGGGAATGCAGCGAAGAAGTATTATCTGGGCTGTACAAGAAGCCTGAAACTTTCGGTCTCTGATCTGTAGTGTGCTTAGGCTTGTCTACAGCGAAAATGTGCAAAGCAACTGGCTGACACTCAATTGCTGGAACACAATGTGGGAGGAGCTCAACATTAAAACAGGTCTGTGGGATCTTCAGTCCTCCTGGCACTATGCGAGAGAGACACATCCTGGCTTGATAATGCAGCAGTTTAATTCCAAAGGTCAATGTCTGAAAGGGATGGTTAAGCTCTGTATGGTAAATGAGCACAGGTGTCTGACACTGGGAAAGAATGTATGCAATGTTGTTGTAGCTGTGTCAGTCCCAGGATATGAGAGAGACCAGGTGGGGTAGGTAATATCTTTTATTGGACCAACTTCTGTTGGTGAGAGAGACAAGCTACACAGAGCTCCCTTCAGGAAAGGAGTCGGTTAGCACCACCCTAGCAAGATAATTACTGAGCAATTTTGATTCTCTTTTCAAACTTTCTCTCTCATGCCTCTGCAACAAGACACATTTCTCATTTTGTCAAGTCAGGGGGTTAATTCTCCATCCTCGCTGACAGGCACGTTCATAAGAATGGGACCAAGTGAGAATACGGATGGGAAGTGCTGATTCAGAGCTATCCTAAAAGATCAGCACACGTGGCATTTGGCTGGATAGTGCGTTGTTCTGCCTGCCATCTGCCAAACTGCCAGCTGCATTTTCTCGTAGTCTGAAATGGAGGTGTCTGGAGTTGTTGTAACCTAAGGGTATGACCACACTGCAGTGAGGAGGTGTGTAGACATACCCGGATCTAGCTCAAGTAACAATAGCAATGAAGCCACAATAGCATAGGTGGCTCCCTGCACCTTGGCTACATACTTAAGCAGTCGTTGTACTGTTATTGTTAGTTCAAGTGGCTTTGACCTACCCGTGCTGCAGTCACGCCGCCTGATTGCAGTGTAGGCATACCCAAAGTAGCTCAGCATTCCTCGACTTGTCTGCCTGATCGAGTTTGACGATGCAGGACTAGCTATTTCCTAAACCATCTACGAGGACCCTTCTCCATTTGAATGCTTGGTGAGGTCTGAACTGACCGCTGCGCCTTTGGTGGGAGATGTTCATTGGACTGAGATCTTCCATAAGAGTGTTTTTCGGAGGGGCCAGGCTCAACAAACAAAATTCAGTTCTGAGTTTGGATTTTGAACATTCTTAAACTTTTGATGGGTTCTGGTCTGTGAATGTTTTGGTTCAGGCTGATGTCTAAGTGTTTTGCCTTCCTACATTTCTCAGAGTTCGTCTATGGCTGAGAGTGGTCCTGATTTTTACAGTAACTGCAGCAGAAATGTGCACCGGCTGATTCAGATCAGCAGTACTACAAACCTATTCAGCAGCTGTCTTATCTTTTCCCCTGGCATCATCGGTATGTGTGCCTTATGGAGACTTCGGAGCCCATTCCTAAGCATCACCCAGATACAATCAGATAATGTGTCTTCAGACAAAGCGACTGAGCCCTAAGGCCTTCAAGGGGCTCTTTTTAATCCTTATGATTTACTGGTTGGTTTTTGTTGTTGTTGTTGTTTTTCTTCCTCCTCTCCTCTTCATAACGGCTGCTCAACTTTAATTGAAACTTCAGTGTTGATGTGGTGGACTCTAGACTGAAGCACTGAGCTGCTTTAGGATTACTCTCGCTGTTCAGGAGATCTGCTGTCTGTTCCGGATGAATGGCTTTTTTTCATTATACCCCAAAGTTGTCTTATGCCATTGTATTGACTTTACTCTGCCTTATCTGCCCTGCTCATTAAACAGAGCTCCTTTTGCATATTTCATATGCCTGCCTTGTACGAAGTATTTTCCCCTCCATCTGCCCATCATAGACTGTTCAGAATTAATTTTTAGGGAGGGATTACCTGGGGGAAGGGTGGACCATTTGTTCTGAATAATCTTTTTAAAGCTGTGCCATTGGTATTGCTCAGCCCAGCAGCTCTGGGAGATTCGATTAGTCCTTTTCATTAGGCACAAAACCTTATGCCTCACATCAGCTGTTCTTTTTTTAAGAGACACTTTATGGCAGCGGAGCTCTCCTTTATTCAGTTTGTGGGCATGAGGGCTCTTTTCACAGCTAGCTCCCATAAGCTAACATGCAAATTAACAGCCATGTTTACACGGGCCACTTTTGTGGGTGGGTCAGTGGGGTCAAGGGGAATAGTGGTACAGTACACACCTGCAGAATTTCTGCCTATGCTTTCTTTAGGCTTGCAGCTTGTTGCGGGTAGAAATCTGAGTACTTTAATGGACAGGTACCTAGCTGCAGTCACAAATCAGGTGCATAGGCCCTGCGTGGCTGGACTTTGCAGGTGCAATTTTTGCCATTGCATGTTTTGTCTACCAAAAAAAAAGTTACCCTTTAAAAATCAGATCTCATGCAAATTGTCCCTCCTACCCCCCAAAATCAATAGGAAAATCATTGAGACTCTTGCCTAGGGCACGGAGCTGGGCTTTGTTTGGTTCTGATCATGGTTGTTCCACTGACTCCATAGGCATCCCTGGGGCTCTCTTCACCCATGTGTAGAATCACTGGCTGTAATATATTTACTTAAGATGTTCTTGTGAGGCTTAATGACTGTAGAGGGCTTTTGAGACTGCTGGATGAAAGGCGTGCTAGAAGTGCATCGTTAACTGTAATCCAAATGCCAAACCTCTTGTCCGTCTGTAATTCTCCACACTTCTCCTATCATGCTCCCCTCTAGTATTAGGATACATTCACCCAAAAAGCTGGGGCTCCCTTTAATAGAGAGCAAGAAGACTGAAGGGAAGGAGAGGACCAAGAGTGACAGTTCTCCTTGAGACTTGTAACAGAAATGGGAGCTGATTCCAGAGGACATCAGAAAGCATTATCGCACAGGAGTTCTGTGTCATTAGCGCCAGGGAACGCTAATGGAGTGTGAGGCCTACGTGATGGCAGAGTGAAAATGGAATCAGATTTTTGTACTCAAAGCAGTTATAGGTGTAAAACAACTCTTAATAAACTGGTGATGCAGTTAAGATATAATGTGAAATTGCTAATCCAAATTGATGTGGGGGTTTTTTGGTATTGTCAAAGCTGAATTCCAACAGGCTCTGATATAATGGCGTTTGCTGACATGGGACTATATTTGCACTTCATCCTGGTTTAAAACCCTGTGAAGAATCCTGTTGTTGATGGGTCGCGAAGGGGGAAAAGTGCTTGTCCCCTTTGAAACACCAAGCAGTGGTTCTCAACCCATGGCCCATTTGTGGCCCAATCAGCACACAGCTGCTGCCCGTGTGACATCCTCAGGGCTATACAGGTAGTATTGTATGCGGCCCACATACATAAATAGGTTGAGAACCACTGCATCAGAGGATAATTAGGGGCAATGTAATGGGGCGAATTGGGTCATTTCCTGTGGTGTGGTTTGGATTTTTTTTTTAAATGGATAGTTTGCTCTAAGGGATATTTTCACACTCCTGTATCTCCATGTATTTCTAATCGATGAATAACTACCTTTTTAAGTAGTGTGTTCACACAGTGTGCCCAGGGAGAAACATGCCAAATGAATGTACAACATCTCCAGAGGTGGGGTGTGTGGCTCACCGTCTCAGCGAATGATGCGCTGAATCCTATAGCTCTTCAGCAGAAGCATGGTCTTGTGCTTAAGGCACTGGCCTGAGAGGCAGAGGCTCTGGGGTCTAGCCTCGGCTCTGCGGTATACTTTGTGTGCCTTATTTCCCTTCAGTAAAACGGGGGAAATATTTGCTCTTCCATCTTTTGTCTGGCCTGTTCAGCTTGTAAGCTGTCTGGGCAGGGACGGTCTCTCATATCATGTCTGTACAGCATCTAGCATGATGGGTGCAGGAACTCTGCTGCGACCTCTAGGCAGGCACTACTGTAAAACTAGGCTAGGCTAGGCTGTCTTTGTCCATGTGCTTCTGCTTTTCATGCTCTAATAGAGTCTCATGAGTCACCGGCAAATTAAATAAATGAAGACCCATCCCTTTGTGCCACCGCATGCAATCGGTGGTACTCTAAGGATCACCCATGCCTCAATGATAAGCTTCTGTCCTGGGCCCTACTGGTGCCCTGACACTCACGAGACTGGTCTGGAGCAGCTCCCTTTCAGCTGTGATTGAAGGAAAGGTTTTGTGCCCGGTAGGCTGGTGCAATTGGTCATGAGTGGAGAACCGCTGAGAAGCATACACTTATTAGGCTGGGTGCCTGAGGGCAGTGTATTTTGCTTTATTTCCCCTGTAAGACCCTATTAAATTAATGTGCGTGTGTGTATCTCTGCCCTAGGAATTCACAGGTGCGCTCCTGAGCCGGGGGCTTCTCGATGGGATGCTGTTGTTTCTAGTGACCTTCCGAAGACACCACAAGTGGCCCCTTTCTCCTGCATATCCTCTCCCCAGTCCTCCATTACATATTGCCCTGCCTCATTACCGTAGATGGGAGAACCCTCCTGAGGTGGGGGACCTAGTGGACACTGCTGCCTCTGGGAAAGTGAGCTCTGGAAACCTGCATTAAAATGCAGATGTTTGGGAAGGTTAAAAGGGGTGGGAGTGGAGGGGTTGCAAGCCATTCATGATGCCAGTTTCAGCCTGGTGAACCAAATCTTCCTGAGCAGTGCATTGCTAGGTGAGACTGTGTTCAGGTTAAAAATGACGGTTTTGTAAAACACAAGGGTTTGTGTGTTTTGGTTTTAGTTTTGGTTTCTTTTTCAATTCCCTCCATTGTAATTATCTTTCTGGGAACCGGGGCACCTTAACGCCACCTTGCTGTTGCGTATCGCAGGAGGCTGATACAGACGATAACCAGGGCACGCTGGGCTTCGATGAGTTCTGCGCCTTCTACAAGATGATGTCAACGCGGCGCGATCTGTACCTGCTCATGCTCACCTACAGCAACCACAAGGACTATCTAGATGCAGATGACCTGAAGCGCTTCCTTGAGATTGAGCAAAAGGTAGGTGGGTGCTGGGGAGAGAATTGCAGTTTGGATGCAGAACCCTGGTTTCTCTCCCTTAGAAAGCTACAATGTTCCAACCTTCCATTTAAAGGTGACCTTTTAACTTTCGCTCGTGGCTTCTTCCCAAGATGGATGGAAATCCTATCAAACCTTATCACATAAATGTCAGCAAAGTTACCTGCAAAGGTCTTGGAGCATTTCCAAACCTGTGCACAGAAACTTAAAGCCTATTGCCACTCAATATTATTTCTCCCAGCTGAGTTCTTGGTTTTGATGTCTTCAAATGGGAAGAGGACTCTGATAAGCTAGTGCTGCCTCTTTTTCTCTTTACATACAGCACCCTTGACAGGTTTGAATAATCGGCCTACTCATTTAGGGAACATTGGAGAAATTAATACTCTCCATAAACTGGGAGAGCAAAGATGGGCTAACCATCTAATTTAGCATGGAAGATGGATTGTGTTTTACTCCTGTGGATCTCACCTGGTATGTTGATTTCTTAATGATCATAATTTGCACGCCCCACCTAATCTCAAAATTGGATGTCATTGTACATAGCATACTCTGTATGCACTGGACAGCTTGTGGGTTGAGTGCTAAGTGGAGCTTTCTATTTTTTAATTTAATTTTTTAAAGCAGTAATAACTGAGTGTTTTAAATTGTGCACAGCAGAGCGTGGGCATGACTCTTGGTGGCAGAGGGAATAATCCAAGCAAGATTTAATGCTTGCCATATGTTTGGTTCAAGGCTTCTTCCTAATACCGTTTTATATTAATTGAGTGCATTGTAAAAGAGAAGGACAAATAGAACTGGCCGGAAGCAGGCAGGAGATTGGCAGGTACTATACAAACATGCCATTCATATGTCTGAAAATGCATCACAAGGTACCCCTTCTGTTGCACTTATTAGTCTCCCAAAGCCAGAGCCTTCTGATCAGGCAAAACTCCATATGGCCTAGAAAAATGCATCATTGTCCACTTCAGACCACTGAATTCACCTTTCCCATTTTCAGTGACTATTTGAATGAAGATTTAGTTTCACGCTGAGGACTGTAATATTGTTGAACGAGCAATGGTCACTGTAGGAATGTGTTTTGCAGTATCACACCTACCAGCTGCTTTGATGGGCACTGCCTCACGAGCTTGGTTCAGAACGGCTTTTACTCTTCTAGACATTTATTACTGAAAAAATAAATG